CTTTATACTTTTAGTGGCTGTGCATTTGCACCAGTTAAATTACAGAGTAGGAGCATTTCCACCATTTTTCTGACTCTGGTTTCACCATGGGTAAGGCCAGAGAGGTGACAGGTCCTTGGGAATCAAGTATTTTCTGCTTTTTGTAAGAATAAGTAAATCACTTCCACCCTCACATGTTGCTATGCTTTGTATGGAAGTACAAATTTTTGTACAACCTCCCTCAAATTGCTCCCATGGTGATAATGGAGGAGTTTTCTCCCTGGGCACCTCAGTGAGCTGTTTGTGTTGGGAATTGCCTGCTGTATCTCTTAATGAATAGAGGCGGAATTTAATAACTTAAGGATTCAAAAATATGCAGGGTGTCTTGGAGGAAAGGTTTTCCTTTCAGCTCTTCCACTTCAGTGCTTGCATTTAGTTGAAAGTTTGGCATGGGTCTGTGCCCTTCCACAGAGGAAAACCCTGCGGCTGGGGCCTGGAAATTCATGGCAGAGAAATGCAATTAATTTCATTTTTACCAGGGAATCAAGGCACCACTTCAAGTAATCCAAGAAAAATGATACCAAGTTAACACCCTGCAAGATGCATGTTTTTACCTACACCTGAGATCAGCACAAATAATTTTATCCAGTATATTTTTGATGTGGTGCTAAATTATTCAGTTGAATTCATGACTAACCTCTGGCTTTCATTTTTTCCAGTCTTTATAAAAATGAAAAATAACTATGATATTTCATTAAACAGGGAACAGCTTGCACTGCATGTGGAGACCTGGCACCACATGCTGTAAATCTTTATGAAAATGGAATGTCTGATTTACAGTGGTGCAAAATCACAGAAAAAGTATTTTTGCTGATCTCTGTGAAAGAGAGTAAGAATGAAGCAAGTAAGATAATATTAAAGTCCTACTTGTAGTCCTGTCAAGATAATCTTGTTGCTATTTGAATAAAATCATCCTCTGGATTGCTTTTTAAACTCTCTTTGATATTGGTTTTCCCCTTTCTGTCATAATATTGTCTTACCAGTGAAGTGACTGTCCATTGCTATGTCTGCAGAGTGGAAAATTATTTGGTACTCAATTTGTTGACCCCAGTTTTGTTCTGGTTTAGAGTTTAATTTTCATTTAGCAGAAGCTACACTAGTTCAGATAACAAATATTTCTTTCCTCAACTCACCAACTCCTGCAGCCTTTTCCCTGGCAGGCACAAAGCACCACCAGGGCTTCCCTCAGCTGTTCCAGCAGCTGAGAGTGGCCCCTGCTGAGCTCGGGGAAAAGCCAGAGCTGGGAAACTGAGATGTCATGACAATAGCTGAGGATGGGGTTTCCAGAGAATTATTCCTGTAATTTGCTGGAATAGGGGAGTGAAATGTGCAATTCTGGCAACAGTGACAGATTTATAGACTGGGTACACTAATTAAAAACAACTTACTCTAAGACATTAATCTGTAAATGACAGCAGCAGGAGAGCTGGGCCGCTTTGTGCCCGAGCGTGGGAACGCTGAAGTGCCCTTCTCCTGCAACAACAGAACCTTGTCACATACAAAATTCAGGAATAACATTAAGCAAGAAGCAAATTGAAGGATTACTTCCTTCTGCTGTGAAACATATGGGGAGATGTTCTGCTGTAAACTGTACACCCATGTGCAAGACAGAAAGAAACAAAAAGTTTTCATTTGCTCTTTACTCTTTTCATTGCTTGTTTCTTTTTCACATGGATGTGGTGAAATTTAGCTAAGAAGTTGGAAGAGAAAACGACTTCTTCCAACTAAATCTTTGCTCATACTAAATGTAACATCTTGGGATTGTCATACTTGAGATTTATCTGAGAAATTCCTCTGTAAAAAATTTTCTTGCCCTGGATAAATTCCTTCCTTGAAATCTCCACCAGTAATCTCAAGAGTTGCACACACTGAGGAATGAAATAAAAATATTTCTGGTGTTCAAAGTACTTCTGATATTACATCTGTATTCCTACTTCAGCAATGATTTAGAGGGATGTCTCAATACATGACAAGATGACAGTTAAATGAAAATAACAGAATAATTTTGTTTTTTACAAACATCACTCTAGTTTGCATTTGAATATAGAAAATTGGAACTTAGTATTTTATTACACATATGGAATTTAAAGCAGAGGAATAATAATGCTTTTTGAAAAGAATGCGAAGCTTAAAACACCCCAAAATGAAAGGCTCTGTAGATGTTTAAGAATACAATAGTTGAGTCTGATACAGTTTTATTTATTCATTTGCTATTTCTTCACTAAACTTCACCCTTCCCCCCCATTTAATGGATATGTCCTTGAATATTCTCCTTATAGTCATTTAAGTAGCTGCTGAAGTTCCTAAGGCTGCAGTTTCCTTGTAATCTTCCATCTGTTTCAAAAGCATTGTAAATACAGTCAGGTTTTCAGCTCCATAAAAGCATCCAGTAAAGTCAGTGCAGCTACATGGAATTTCTTCAGATGAGACTCTCACTTGTGATGTTCGTGTCTCCATTTTTCCTAACCCCAAACTTCTTTTCATTATATAATTACAGGTTTTTTTCAGCATTTTAATCACAAAGTGATCATGGTTGCCTGATTTTGACTGGACTTTGCATTCACAATTACAGGAAATGGGTTTTTGTGATATGGGATATTACAAAAATGTCTGAAACTCCTTTCAGAAACTGTTTTTCTAACATAGTATTTACAAAAGGAAAGGATTTACTTTATGACTTCTCTTTTGTTGTCAGCATGCTGCAATGGTGACACAGAGCATTGTGCTCAAGACTGTTCTTAATTGTCAGGGAAGACACCAAGGATTGCTCTAGGTTAAAAATCTGTATTTACTAGTTAGAAAGGTCACACTTGAAAATGCCCATGTGATTTTTTTTTCCCCTCTCAAATGTTGAGGGCAATGCTCTCATTGGAGAAGTTCCTTGTGATGCATAAAGGACCAAGGTGTATATGTTGTTTGAAAGAATTATTCCATTGCTATAAAACACATACAGAAATGGGGAAGAGTGAAAGGATATGATGGATGTAATCTAATTATTATACTGTAAGTGGTTTTACTTTTTACTCTAGTTTAGCATAATCATAAATGGAAACCAAGATAAGAGTTGGAGAAGAAAACTGAAGTGATTGGCTTTGAATTATAGTATTTTTTATGATCAGTTAGAAGCTGCAGCAAAGTTGGATTCATGGCACTGTCTGTAGATATCAACTTTACTTTGTAGTAGTAAATCAGTAATTAAATGGTTAAATGCTAACTCTGAGCAGCTTTTCTGTATGCTGGGTTCCTTTAGCTGTGAGAGTCCCCATATGAAAATCTTATTTTCTTGTTTCACATATCTAGCCCATGTCACCAGGAAATAGCTCCTAGAAGAATTCAGCATTCAATATTCCTTATTCAATGCTCCAAAACATATTTTACAATATTTGTAATTAACCCAAAACATTTCAATTCTGTCTCTGGCATTCAGAATGTCATGAGGAACCAAAGAAGCCAGGGCAGATGATTTCATTACCACCAGCAGTGTGTATTTTATACCTTCAATATCAGTCTTCAGGGTCTAACACAAGTTGTAAGACTTTTATTGCTGTCAAGCTATATAAAATCCTGGTGCCAGCTTCTTAACACTTGGAAAGTAATAACACTTCTCATCTTCTATTTAAAAAAGTACAGACTGTTTTCTTGGAATAGATTTCCAGAGCTTGCAGAGCTGAGCTATCCTTCTCACTAATATTTGTATGTTTATCACCACCCTGCCATGAAACCCAAATCAATTAATCTGTTTCTGTTCCCTGCAAGTGTAAAATAGGATAGCAGTTTGTGACCATGATCACAAAACTCTAATTTAAAAACATCATATGTGTCTTCCTTCAGAAGCCTGCATAAGAAATCTTGAATGATTCATATCTTATTTTTAAATCATAAGCTTTTGTTTCACCAGAATGCTTTCATGCTTTCTGTGTCTGAAAATGATGCAAATAAGTTGCCTCTACTGGTCAAGAATAAACACTGAAGTAAAAAAAAAATAAAGAATTATACAGCTTCCCATGTATAGTTTAGGCACTCTAATTATTGTATGTAAATGCAGAATGTAAAATTAAACAAATAAATTTAGATCTTACAGCAACTTAGTAAAAAGTGAAAGTGTTTACACACTTAGTGCCTACAAAATGAATTGTACTGCCTATTCCTGATGATGTCAAAATAAGCCCTTATGCTGTAGAAAATGTTACAAATTCTGTAAATCATAAGACAAATAGAAACTAATCTGTGTTGGGCAATATTACAGAGCAATTGCAGACTCTGAGGCCATTGTTTGAAGTTATCCCCATTTAAGTCCTTTAATGAGGACACTGACAGATTGCTGGTTGTGCTTGGAGTCCCATCCTGCTAATTCTCTATCAGGCATCAATGGGCCATGTGCTCTGAGCAGAGCAGGACCAGCAGTGAACTCAGTCCCTGGGGACAGAAAATCTCCTTCTGCAGAGTCTGAAAGCTTCCACCAAGCCTAGTGAAGCTTGGAAATGAAGTCCCCCTCAGACCTTATGTCTGGAAGTACAGAGCTCCTCCAGCATGTATACAGCATGTGCATTGCAGTTTATTTCTGTTGTAACTACAAATTAGTGTGAGTTTGTTGGGTTGCATTCGTGTGTTTACAGGAATGTAAAACTTCCTGCTGGAGAGTTGTTTAACTGTGGGTGGCTGTCGCCAGGGAGCTTCCTCAGCAGCTACTGATTTGGGTTGTTGTCTTCAAGTGATCCAGCACTTGGAAATTTCCAGTGTAAATACTGGTTTGTTCCCTTTTGGCAAATATTTTGATTAGCTGTAAGTACCTATGATCAGTGTTGCTTACTGATGGTCTGAAAATGATAAGCCAGAGAAAGTTACTGGAATGCAATGGAAGTTTGGCAGCTCTGGTAGAACAGAAAGCAGAAGAATTAGAGATTCTGTTCCCTTTGGAGCTGTACCAAGTTGCTAATCTTTTGCTGTGTTTGGTATTCTAGGATGTCATGTCCACGTTCTTCCAGTTTGGGGCTTCCATCCAGCAAGAAGCCATTATCATGCTGAAGATCATGCAGGATTATGACTGGCATGTGTTCTCTCTGGTGACCACCACTTTCCCTGGATATCGGGATTTCATCAACGTCATTAAGACCACTGTAGAAAACAGTTTTGTGGGCTGGGACATGCAGAACATCATCATACTCGATACTGCCTTTGGAGATGCCAAAACCCAAATCCAGCTGAAGAAAATCCATTCGTCTGTCATCCTGCTGTACTGCTCCAAGGATGAAGCTGTCTACATCCTGGATGAGGCTCGGTCCCTGGGCCTTACTGGCTATGATTTCTTTTGGATAGTTCCCAGCCTGGTCAGTGGTAACACAGAAATCACTCCCAAGGAGTTTCCTTCAGGACTCATTTCAGCAGCTTATGATGAGTGGGACTACAGTTTAGAAGCTCGGGTACGGGATGGCCTTGGGGTCATTGCCACTGCTGCATCAGCCATGCTGGAAAAGTACTCCTTCATTCCTGAAGCAAGAACGAGCTGCTATGGACAACTGGAGAAAAACGACCGGCCCTCGCAAACCTTGCACAAGTAAGGATGATTGCTTTGGGTTATTTTAACCTCTGCAGCCTTGACACTTTTCTCTTTTATTGCCACTGTATGTTTCTTGAAGGAGAATATTGTATTTTGCTAATCCCTTAATTGAGCCCTTTTTAAGCAGCAGGTATTCAGATGTTCCAGGAGAATGTGCAAGAGGACTTGCTGCACTGATAGCTGTGCTCCTGGAGATGATGTGTGCTGTGCAGAATAAACACTGCTCTGAATCTAGTGCTAGAAGATGACAGAAATTGGTCTTAGAGGGTATGAAGCCGAGTGAACAAAATTGGACCATTGTGTACTTTAACTATGAGGTAAAATTGCCAGAATGCTCTGGAGGCTGTGCCTGTATCACTTGCATCAGCAGGAACCTCGTAATATTTTAGAAGACAAGCAATGTGAAGCATTGAAGTGCTATCCCTGGAAATTGTAGAGTATTAGATTAGTTAGGCAGCTTTTATCACATAAGAACTGAAATCTGTCCCCTTTACTTGTAAGAGTATATTTTTGTCACCTCTAATAGAATAACTGTGAAACTTAACCAGCATTAATCTGAGCTGATATAGCTGTTTTCTCTAAACAGTTTGTCAGATGGGAACTGCCCAGGTTTAAACCAGGATTTTTTTTTTGTTATTAATATTTTCCTTTTAATTATCCCTTTTAGACATGATACTTCAGATTACTTCTATCCAAAATGTTGCATGGTAATATATTTCTTTATCTAGTCTGTGAGAGGAAGTAGGGTATCTTGCATAATTTTTAATAGCTCTTGACAATATGGAAGCTACTAAGAAATATTTATCACCTTTGTTCTAACCAAATAGTGCAGATGAAGTGCTCTCTACAAAAAAAGCAGGCAGAGGAAGGAAAGTTGGTGCTGATTTCAAAAGGGGATTTTGGAACAGTTTTAATCTTGAGATGCATGTGCATATTTAGATTAGGAGCTGATTACCACACGATGTCCTGGAACAGTTATTTCCCATGAAAACATAGCATTCTTCAGAAGCTTTCTTAAAACGCAAATGCAACTGACTAAATGGATTTTAACATTTCCTTAGTGAGAACTTGTCTTTAGTATGACACTTGCAGGTTTTCTTGTGCTTCCTTTCCTATTTTTGAACCTCTACCTTCTCTGTCCCTGGAGACATTGCAGAAACCCCATGATTCTTTTCCTGCTTTTCCTCATTATTTTAATTACTAAAATAAGAAGGTAATGCTTTAATCCAGTAACTGTTTGATACTTTCTGCGTCCTAAGCTGACCAAACCTGGGAAAAAAATCTAATACAGGCTTTCAGTACTTTCTTGAATGGCTTTGTAAGTAACAAATGGGGCACCATTTGCCCCAGTGAGTGGCTGTGTGGCCCAGCAGGGAAAGCTGTGGTATGTCCCTGGTGTCAGGGCAGAGCAGGGGGAGGCACTGCTGGGGGGACTGTCCCACCCATGGCACCCCCGTGCTGGTTCCTAATGTGTGTGCTGGCAGTGGGGCAGTGGGAGCATCCTGTTAACCAAACTCTGTGCCTTAACTGCAGCACCTGACCTACAAATGAAGCAGTCCATTATTAATAATTGAACTCCAGGTTCTGTGAAAGTTAAGTTGTATTCTGTCACAAGTGTTGGGGTTTAAAATACTCTTGGAAGGGGCACAAAAACTTGAACCTGTTTTGAAAAAGGCTCCTACCCTATTGTTTGGCTAATGCACTAGTGTAGACTTGAATTAAGTATACAGTACTCAGTATAAACTGTATTTCTCTAAATAATCTTTATTTTCTCATTAAACCTGCATGAGTACAAGAACAGGGCTTGTGAGTGCTAGGGTAGTGAGACTAGACTTCACCAGGAGATTCTGCAGCATTCAGTGCATGATGCATCCAGCAATTATTAATAAGAGAAGCTGTAGTGCACTGTGGTTAAAAAAGTCACTTCCTGATTGTGAAACACTGAGCTATGAAGTAAAAATACCTTTTCTGCACTGGAGATTCTTTGAGCTTTTCCAACACCACAAGAACAAGAAACAGGCTGTTTTTAATTTAGAAATTCCAGAATTATGCTAAAATAAATAAACTTTAAATAGTCCTTCTTATGTAATAATTCCCCAAGACTATTCCTGTCACATATAATCTGGTAGCAAGGCAAATATATACAAGCTTTTACCAGTACTAAGTAATCTTGGGGAGCTGACCAGTCTCTCATGCCAAGGTGAATTACATAAATTCATTGGACTTTCTCATCCTTATCACTAAATTTTACTTTTCTACTTCACATGAAAAATCAATGCCCTAATCAGGGTTTTTATTGTGAAGTGGAATCTGCACAGTTTCAGGCCCCAGACAGTGCAGTTTTATATTGTAAACTACAAGGTTAATGTACACATGCTGTGTTAAGAAACTAACCTGAGGAAAGGATTTTGGAGCATGTTCCCCGTGGAAAGGGCTGAAGTAACTGCAAACAGCTTATGGACCTGGGATCTGCTGTGCTCTACCTCCCCGTCCATCTGGGAATCAGTGCTGGAGAAGTAGGATTGAACAAGAGGACACTGCTGCAAGCTCAGAAGCAGAGAACTCAGTGGAAGTCAGGGAAGAGGCTGTGTAAGGGGATGCCTGAGCAAAACAAAGCTCAAAATAGAGCAAAACCCCAGGATTTTTAGGCTCCATCTATTGTAATGGCAGTGTAATTCAGCTTTAAACCCAGGATAGTATTCTGAGGCTATGCTATAATAGCTAATTTGCTTGTAAATGGAAGTTAATAGTGCTTTATGTATGACTTCCCACATCCAGATTGCAATTTTCTCTCTGTTTGTGAAGAAATTCTTTGTAAAGAAAGCAGTGAAGTAAAAGCTCCTCCTCCCTCTTTCTCAAATCCTTTGAGTATTAAATTGGTTTGAAGATATATTTGTTTTGAAGCACACAATTTGTCTTTCCCCCATTACTGCAATTCTGAGATGCTTTTATTGGTTTCCTAGACCCAGAAGAAAATCAGGTTTGCTTTAGTTTTTGGAATGATCTGATCAATGCTCATTTCTGGTACACATGGGAAAGCCAGTTTTTCCCTACGAATAAAGGATTTATAATAAAATACGGGTCTCATTTTCAATGCATTAAAAACACAGATATATATGTATATTTGTATCTCTATTGATTCAGATAATCTTTTTCTATCTGTGTAGGACCCAGATCTCCCAAGGCAGAAAACCACTATTGTGTGAAATACTGGCACAGCAGGATAAATAGAATTAGCACCTCATTAATGCCAAGTCAGTTGAACAAACTCTTGTTCTCTCTAAAAAAAGGAAAACACAGAAGCAAACAAACAGCAAAACACAATAACCCTGCGAGTCATGGAAAATGCTGCTGCTTTGTGTACCGGAGTACTCACGGTGTGTATGGAAGTCCTGACCCTGGCAGAGACATTTCACTGCAGCATTTCCAACCACGCTGGTCCTTTCAGGGATGGGTGAGGTTGGTAAAGCTGTTGCCATTATCCTGAAAAGCAACAAGATGTGTCTGTCCATAGGTAGTCTGGTGTTTTCTGTGTGGTGCTGACATTTGGTGAGAGTCTGTTCTGAAATACAGCCCAGCTACAGGCAGGATTTGGAGACCCATCCTTCAGCAGTGAAGGTGTAGGTCCAGAAGGTATCCTACCCTTCCCAAGCACAATTTCCTTTATTTGTCATCACTGAACCAGGAGCAATGGGCAGTCTACAGTGCCAGGGACAAAAGCTCAGTTGTCCTTGCTGTTGTGCTGCTGTTATCCTTCAACACAGCACCTTCTTCAGAGGGAAGGGTTTGCTGTCCCTTGTCCTGATAGTCACCAAATTCAATATTTTGATTACATGCTTCCATCATGCCAGATAAATTTGCCTCTTTTGAGCGAAATCTGGGATTAAAGGGACACAATTGTTTGATGAATAATCCAGAAAATCTGTTTAATATTTTCCCACTTACAGATCAACAGCCAATTGATAGAGGATTTGTTCATTCAAGTCAGAAGACTTGGGAACAATAGGTAACGTCTTCTTCATTGGATGATTGAAAGTTTATAGATATTCCACTAATTATATATGAATCCAAAGTAAAACTAAAACTTTACAGGAAACAAAAGAGGGGTTCTGTAGCGAAACACTGCCCCTGAGACCCCAGCATGGTGCTGGTTTAATTACAAAATGATTCAAGAAACTATTGAAAATCTGTATTAGAATTTTCTCCCAGGTTTGGTCAGCTTAGGAAGCAGAAAGTACCAAACAGTTACTGGATTAGAGCATTACCTTGTTGTTGTGCTAATTAAAATGATTTAAAACAAGAGAACAAGCACGGCTCTGGCAGTGGAGTGGAGCCTGCCTTCAGGGCTGAAAGCAGGGCTCATCATCAACATATCAGGGAATGCTCTTGGAGCTGCTGCAGGCACCATCCCCCTTGCAGGGAGCCAGGCACGTATCATGGGGAAGAGTTTGGGATGTTTCTGAGCTGGTGCAGCAATATGGGATCAAATTAGGGCTGGTTTTGAAATGTTGATGCTAACAGTAGCATTAACGCGCTAAACATTCTGGTTCAGTTACACTCATCTGCGGCACATCCCAGGCAGCTGGGCCCTTTCTAACTTTGCCTCCCTCTCAGAAGGGTTCCCCAAGAGTTTTGTTGTTTGTCTGCAGAGCTGGGGCAGGATGACTTTTGCACAGCCAGTGAATGCTTTAAGGAGCAGATGGAAGGAGGTCCCAGAAGCTGGCATGCTGCTCCTTTTGCACAGTCACTGAGCAGATCCCTCCCAAAGTTTTACTCGTCCTCTGGCTCCAAGCCTAGGGAGACACAGCTCCAAAGCAAGGGACCCTTGTGCAGGAGCGAGGGCTGGGAGGGGGAGGAGGAGGAGGATACACAAAGGGGAACAAGTGACTCTGCATCACTCTAAAGGATTTGAATGTATATTAAAAAAAAATCCTACATAGCATAAGATATAGAACTGACTTTAAAAAAAATGCATCAGTACCTTGTTTAATGGGGTTCTATTGCAGATGTATTTCTGTATGTACTTCACACTTTATATATTCTACATTAAGCATTTTTTGATTTAATTTTACAGAGGAAATCGGTTTCTTAATGATAAATAATGTGTCTTGGGGGTTTCTACTGGTAAAGTATCATTCAAATGTCATGGTTGAATCACAGTAAGGAAGTTCAGCAGTTCAGAGCCTCAACAAGATGGAGAAGAAAAGACAAAATTTGGATTCACTCCTGCTTTTTTAGGTATGAGGCTGAGTGAATGCCAAGCCCAGATAGGCTGGCTGTCTAGGTTATTAAAATGGTTGGGTTTGCAGGAAAAGAGAAATATTGCCAGATAACATGTTGGTTTTGAGGCATTTAATCTGCTTTAAATCTCAGTTTGGAAATTCCTTCTTTGATAGAGAAGAGGGAGAATTTCTCCTATGCAAGATGTATTTCCCCAAGCCTCTCCTGCTTCTCTTCATTGCCTGCAGTTCTCAGAGATTTGAAACTCTGCCCCACGGTGAAGAAGACTAAATAAAAAATGATAGTCCCTGATGATGGCACCTGGGGAGTTTATCAAGTGTGATTATTATCTCTCATCTGAGAGCAGGAAATGTAGCTCTGAACTCAAGGCAGAGAGGAGTCCCCTGGTCTTTCTGCTCCCTGCAGCTCTCAGGCCCTGTGCTTTGTTTTACGGGTCTAGGGACTAAGTTCTCTCCTTAGAAGGTAGCTTAGAAGTGACACATTTTCCTTAATGCCTCTGCCTTCTCCATTCTGTTTTTCCCAGCTGCATTCTAGGGGAATTTCACACTAATTATAAACAAGCCTCTTACAGAGCTGATTGTGTTCCTGAGCCTGAGCAGTCCTGGAGGGTCTTTGGGACACAGGTGGGTGGGCAGGAGAGTGTCCGTGCTGAGGATGCTCCTCCCTGGCATTCCAGAGGGAGCGCCTGGAGGGTGCTGAGGCTCCTCGTGTGGCCTCACACCTGCTTCTGTGTCATGGGATTGCTCTGCTGTGCTTCCATTCTGTCCTTGTTGGCTTTCTCAGGTCACCCTGACAAGTTTTTGAAACCAGGGCTAGGGTTGATCTTTGTTTGGAACAAAGTGACCATAATAATTTACATAAAGTTATGGGTTTTTTTTTTCTTAAAATAATGCCCAACACAGAATCCACTAAGCCTTCTTTGTTTTGCTCTCAAATCCTTGGATGTGTTAGGAGAACACTTGTGTTGAATAGACATATGTATGGTAAACCTCAAAAGAAATGCCATAGCCTGCAAACATGTTTGTTTTTTCTACCATAGAAGTAGAAAACCTCAAAGATTCTGCTCCAGGATTTCAGCTGTTCTCATCCAGTATAGGAAATCCTTAACAAACACTCATGGACGAGGGAGTCCATGTCTCCTGTGAGGATTCTGGCCAGAAAGGTGCCTCTGTGTCAGCAATATTGTATCCAAGCAAATGGCACTCTGAAAACTGAGCTGTGACCCCTTTGGCAAAGTCTTCACCCATTTGTTAATTGAATTAGAGTCAATGAAGTTGTGATATTGTAGTTACAGGGTAAGAAACCCCAGCTTTTTCACTATGTTCTGGCTTTCTGGGTAAAGTTAGAATTTTGACAGGGATAAATATCGCAGTTTTGGCATTAATCTGAAGCTCTGTGTGAACTACTTGATCTTTCTGAAGCTTATAAAAATAAAGTTGGAAACTTTTAGAGAAGTTTGTAACCTGGGTTCTTCAAAGGCTTGCTGTGAATACGACAGCAAAAGTGTTCTGCTGCGGTGTTCTAAAACTTCTCAGTTTTTTGGGGAAGGTGACAAGCAAAAAAGAATTGTATAAAAGTGTTTTTAAATACATAGTTAAGGTTAGGTTCTTTGCACGATAAAAAAACCTGTTTTGAATTCGATGTGAGACTAGCTTAACTTCTGTCAGGAAAAAGGTGTCATTTTGTATCACCTGGGGAATCTTACAAATTTCAGTTTGCAAAAGTTAATTAAGACTTCAGTGTCATAATACCACCACAAGGCCTTGTGCTAGCGTGCCTTTGCAAAGGCTGTGGCTTTAATGAGGAGTGAAAACAGATTAACTACAAATCCAAGGTGTGTTGCTAATTGCCCCATCAAAGTAAGGAGTTCAAATAACTAAACACCTCATTTAGTTAAGAACAGGAATTTGCATTTCCAAAGCTACTTCCGAAAAATATTTTATCCAATTCAGAAGCCAAAGACCTCTTGCACAGAATTAACCTTGGATAAACTTAAAACTCTAGAAGAGTAACATAATACAAATTCTTCACAACATTATTCCTAACCAGGAGCAGACAAGCACTTGGTTATTTTTTGTAGGACAAGCAGTTTGGGATCGTGGCCAGTAAAAGCAGAGCAGGACTTCTGTCCTTTGCAGAGGAAAAATGACAATTCAAAAGCGAGTGCAGGTTGTAGGCATTGATTTTTGGAGAACACGGCAGCTGATGAATTTTGTACAGAAGAATGTGCTTGGGGAAACAAGAATCTCTTTGAAGTTCTTTTTTATTGCTGCAGTGTGAGAATCTGGGGTAGCTCAGAGTGCGTCACTCGCACCTTTGTATCAGGATCAGAGAATACCATTTTAAGAGACTTTTCAGATTAGGGAATTAAAAAAATCACACCAAAAACCTTGCAAAATGTGTTTCTTTACTTAATGGCTGGTAAATTCACATGATTTAAAATATACACTGAGCTCAATTTTTCACTTTAGAATGGTTGTTCATATTAGTCTTTTTTGGAACACTTGAGTTTCAGCACTACATCTTGTGATAGCCCTTACCTAGCTTCGCTTCCAGGCTAGGACATTTGAATATTAATCCCAAAATATGATGAGTACTGTTTGAAATCGGGGGTGGTGATCCCACTGAGGAAGGGTTTAACCTCCAGTCCCATCACCGTTTTCCGTGCAGTTAAAAACCCAGGTGAGCACAAAAGCCTGAGGAGCGCAGGGTGTGTGTTTGGGGTCCAGCCCTTGGCAGGGGACACACTGTTGGCTTTCAGCTCCAGTGGAACGGGGTGGCTCCTGCCTGGCCTTGTCAGGTGATTCACACCCTCATGGGTGTGAATTGGGTCAGGGTACAGAAGTGAAAATGCAAGGATTGCCTGTTTCCACAGCACATCCTTGATTTCCTCTTGTGCTCACTTCCCAGGCGTTTCACTCCCTGGGTCACAGTGAATGTTATGCTGGTTCCTTACATGTGAGCACAAGTAAATCCTGTTTGGTGTTTGCTGCCTCTCAAGGTGGCAGATAAGCTTTTTGTTCCCAAGTAAGATCTTTCACTGTTGGATGAAAAATGGAATGTACAGGAAATTAGTTCTACTGGACAGCAAAGTTCTGTCAAGGGGAAAATTTTGACACTGGAAGCCTATAATGAAATGTGAGTTATTACAATGGGTGAATTTACAAATTGCTGTCAAACTGGCGTTGAATGATGTTAATATGACTGTTCAGGGTAGTGCACATTTATTTATTAACTGTTATGATACAATGCCATTATTTCTTCTGGGTCTGTATATGTTTATTTAGTGTGCTTCTGCTACTGGGATTTTCAGGCAGCTATGTCAATACAAAGCCTTTTCCTTTGAATCTGGAGCTGAGGAATTTTGTCTGTGTCACATTCCCCAGGAGATTATGCTGCCATTGCTGCTAAAAAAGCCAGCCATAATAACCAACCAACTAACCCAAAAATCCCCTCCAAACCCATACAAACATATAAAGCAGTATTGGTGTCTTGTTGGTAAATCACTACAGGTAATGTATGAGGAACAGTGAATTTCTGCCCTTCAGAACACATCTCTCTATAGGATGGACATCTGCACTTCTGCCTGTATCAGTCTTGGGCTGAATTTCTTTCAATTAAATACACTGAGAATTCAGAGCAATTCAATGTGAACAACTTCAGACCACAGAGATGGGCTGGGAGATGTATTTTCTTCCCAAGATTTTGAATTGAAGTTTTACTTCTTACTGTGGGATAGCCCTGTCAGCTTTACACTAACAGTGTGGAGGTTTGATTTTTTTTTCAACATTTTACAATTTTTCATTCTTTTATATTTTATTTTGTGTCCTTCTATTTTTTCCCCTATTTAAAATACAAATTAATTCATATGTCTTTTGAAAACCATTGAAAATTAAATACAAAAGTATAAAAATGTAAATCCTTTTTCTATTGAAATTACTGAACTGAATATTTACCAACACCTACAAAGCTTTCATGTGTGGTTTTGGCATTAGTGGAATTTTTTCTCATGGCCCAACAGCACTGTTTGTGGCTACAGTTTTGGGAAGAGCTGACAGGACTCCTGGAGCTCTGAACAGGGGAAGACAGATCAGATGCACTTTGCTCTGAGTACTACTCAGTGGCACAATAGTACAATGTCACCCACAAAGGTGATGTGGGTTTGTTCAAAATGCTCCTGAAAAGCTGGTGTGGTTGTGCAAAGTGCCAGAAGGATTATTCAGGGAGGGGAGAGATCAATCATACGTAATGTGGAAGCTGTTAAAAATGACATCTGCATTATAATTCATACAGCAATAATATTTTGCTTTGTCTTGAGCTATGAATTTGAAATGTCCCGAGTCCCCCTGCTGCCAGCACAGGCAGGGCTTGGTGCGTGCATCCACCCGTGCTGCTGGTGACCGCGCTGGCTGCTCATTCACTGCTGGACAGCCCATTAAGTTTTCAATGAACTTTTCTTCCTTGCTTTCCAGGTTTATGATGAATGTGACGTGGGAAGGCAGAGATTTGTCCTTCACAGCAGATGGCTACCAGGCCCACCCCAGGCTGGTGGTGATCGTGCTGAACAACGAGCGGGAGTGGGAGAAGGTGAGCGCTGCTCGGGGCTCGGCAACCGGGGGGGATTGGTGTCACATCTCAGGGCTCCTGCCCCAGCAGCTGTGTCACAGCTCTCAGAAGAGACCATTTTACACCATCCTGAGTGTATCTGATGAGTTTTAGCAGATCAGTGAAGAAAAGCCACGTGGAGTTCAGATTTCTATGGAGTGCGCTTTGCATTTCCAGTTCTTAAAATTGAGTAATGTAAAATGGATAACTGAAAAATGTCCAAAAGCTTGGTCCTCAGCTACTTGAGTTTGGAGGGGTTTTTATATCTTGACAATTCCATTCCTTTTATTTCCTTGATTTTGTGGGTTTTTGACAGATTTTAAAGTAAAAGCACACTTAAAAAAAACCCCAACTGTGAAGCTCCTGTTGGAGAATAATCCTATCAATGTTTGCCTAAAAAATTCAGAATCTTGACTACTCCAGGTAGACAAGTGATCTCCACATAGAGTTCTGTATAGACTAGAAGGAAAAATGTCCTAGCATCAATGTTAATCATATATTCAAGTAGTAAGTGAAAAAGTTTATCACAAGCATCATTTCTTTTAAACTCCAGTCTCCACCTGTGATTGTTTTGGCTCTGAGTCTTGCAGGCTGTGTCCCTATGTTTAAAAACTTGTTTTAAGAAACTGTTTTTAATATAAGACTGTAGGAAAAAATACATCTAAATCATCCACCAGTTTTATTTTAAATTCATGAAACGTTATTCTGCATTATCTAAATTGCTGCTGAAATTTATGAATTCTTTTTGTTATAGTTTTAAAAATCCATTAAATCAACTTAAAACTCCAGTTTATAAGACTGCAAGACTCTACATGATGATGAATAATAATGACAAAATCAGAATTACTGAAGGACATCTCAATAAATATGCTAGTCATGCAGAAACACAGAGAGTAGTCCTAGATTATGCTGTGTATTTCTTTATGTTCATTTGATGCAAATTTAATTCTCTGGATAAATTTAATCCTCTCCAAATGTGTCAATCTGAATCTTTGGAGGAATCATTTGCTCACTAACTGTTATGAAAATTTCTTACCCTATTTTAAAATTCTCCAACAGTCTGCATATCGTATATAATGTTCTGGAAAAATATTATACTGCTTGGGGAATATTATTAGCATGAGGTGCCAAAGGAAGAAAATGCTCAAAGAGGCAGCCAACAATGCTTATGTTAAAATAATTTCATACATTTTGTACCTTGAAACTTCTCTAAAGAGACCATTCAAAGGACAAGGAGAGATGGGTTTGATTTTTTTTTTGAAAAATAATCTAACAGCAGCAAAGAAATACTGGGTATATGAACCAACATTATTTCAAATTAATAACTTAAGCCTGCTTTAACCTTCCAGTGAATTGCCTGTCAGAGGATGAGGTCTGGGGCAGGTTGTGCTGTGCCTGCCGAGGTTGTAGGGCAGCAGTGCCCACTCCCCCTGCAGTGCTGGGCTCCCGGAGGCTGATCCTTGCCTTGTCTGTGCACAGTTTTCCAGCTGGTAAATCCCTTCCTGCTCTTTGTCAGGTTTGAGGGGCTCCTGGGAGGAAGAACAAAAACGGATGTGTGTGGTGGTGTGTGGCCCTGGTTTGGAGCCCTGCTGGTGGCCAGCGAGGCGAGGAGTGAGGGCAGGGCAGCTCTGGTGGCTGCTGCTCCAAAGCGCTGTGGAAGAAGGCCAGCTTTAATTAGGAATTTTGTCAGAGGGGAGACGTGAGAGGCAGCCAAGAACACTCTGTCACCACCAGACTTATTCTCCTGACCACAGGCTGATCCTGCCTCTGTGGATGAGGACAAATACACTGATGGTCAATTATCCTGGCACGCTGGACGTAGCTCTGGGCTGCCTGGGCACACCCCACATCTTTTCAGCAGAGTCCCGTGCACTTCAGCTCCAGTGACTGAGAGATTGAGAAGCCCTTCTCTTCCACATGGTTTATTCAAACAGCTCTCTAGTGTTGTCTCAACGTTCTCTCCAAGTTGCAGGTTTTACCCCATATCTCTTAGGCAATTTCTTTCCTTTGTCCTTGAGCTGTTTTGCTCAATTTCAGAACTGTCAAAGTTACTCATCTGAGATCTCCCATTTGCTGCTCTAAGTTTCCACAAAGGCATGTGCTTCTCCTTTCTCTTACAGTGTAGCAGGGAGTATCACAGAATGGTTTTATTGAAGTCTTATTAAATATTCTCAATCCTATATGGAAAAAAAAAGTCAAATCTTAGTATCTAATTAAATAATTTACTCGTGAAAAAATGACAATGCAACAGCCTGTTAATCCTCATAATGTAACTAATGTTCATACTGCGAGTAACTAATTTATTATTTATGTAGAAAAAGTAATTGTGGTTTATGTGAAGAATTTTTTACCTGGTATTCTCCTGAAAATGCAAGATTTATTATTGAAAACAATTTTTCTTTGTTTTCAAACTGCTTTTATTCAAATACAATTTTTCTTTGGTTTCTGAATTTATATACTTTACTTAAAGCTTGAGGTTATAAAGAAGCTGTTCAACCATAGCTGCAGAATATTTAACTCACCCCTCAGAAAATAAGCTATTTTTTCTTTACTCATTATTGAAACTTTGAGGTGGTAATTTCACATGTAAGTGGGGTTGATGGAGGGGTTTGTCCCATATCAGATGCTGAAGAAAGCTGTTCGAATGATAATAGTTTGAAGACTGAAAATCACTTTTTGGGCATGTTTCACAGGCATCCAGCAAGATATTTTGACAGATCCTAAAGCAGCTCTCAAACTTCTGACACCAACATTCATATTCTTGCTGCTGATCTTGACAGGCAAAGGGGTTGCTGTTCTCAGGCAAGAGATTTTTAAGAAGACAAGCTTAATGTGCTTATTAAAGTGAAACTTGATAAATTTACCAGAGTTAGCAGTGTTGCCCAAATATCACCACAGCACTGCAGGATCACTGTGCTAGTGCTCAACAACCCTCAGAGGTTCAGCAGCCCCAGCTGCAGCTCCCCTCCTCATACCTCAGAGACATGGGACCTGCATGTCTCACCAGGCCCATCAACTTCACTGAGCTGCCAAATTCACAGCCTGCTACTCTGGCTTTTTTATTTTTATTTTAGCATATTTTTAATATGGAAATAAACGAAATCAATCCAATATTAAAATCATATACTAGAATATGATTAGCAGTGGCAAAAGTAGGCAGTTTAATTAGCAGCATGTACCACATATCATAAGTGAGGTGGGGAAGACTTAATGTATTTAAAGATGAGAGTGTTCTATGTGTAAAGATGATTTCCAGGGTAAAAAAAAAATAAATTACTGATGTTCCAGGTAGATACAGATAAAGTTACCATGGTGGTCTGTATTCTGGGTGAATTTGTGTACTACATGGCACAATTGCTAATGAAACACCACCACAAGAACTGTTATTTTACATCCAGATTTATTCTAAACAGAGCCTGTCATCTTTAACTTTCCACTAATGCAGGATTTAATGCAGAACTTGCTTTTTCTCTGATTAAGTAGCATATGCCAGGTTCACAAGCTCTGTGTGGGGTTGTACACATTTGTATCCAAGTAGGAAGGAGTGGGCAGAGGGTGCGTGGTTCCTGCCTGGAATAAATGAACCAAGGTCTTCACAGCGAGCTCCATGTGGCTACCAACATCCACCAGCACGTAGCCCAGAACAGACAGCACCTGCAGCTGACTGTGGAGCTGACTTCACTGGGCAGGAGATGGGAAACCCAGCCCGGTCTCAGGCAGATTTCTGACAGAGCTTTTTGTCAGAGTACTGTGGGGATAAAAAAATCAGTGAGGTGCTCCATGGTAATTTCTTGTGAAATCTCGATTGATTTGAGCAAGAGTCACGACAACTGGGGGATCCTCATGTCTTGTGATAGATGATCCCTAACACTTGTGAGAAATGCAGATATTGTAACTAGAACAGATGAAATTGCCTGAGCTAATAATCTGTTTGCTGGGGTATCTTTTGTCAGTAGCTCTGTGCTGTAATGTGATATATTCTTTTTGCCCAGAGCAGAAGCAGCGGCGTGCTCTTTAACATCTGTTGGGTTGTCATTCTCTGTATTCCATCCTTGTTGTTTTGTGTATTTAGTCTTCCTGTAAATATGCCTATCCTGACACTTACTGTCAGCTGAAAATTGCATGTTGTTTCTGTATCAGTGAGCTTTTGCCTAGCCTAAAGGCCTTTCCTTTGACCTTTACTCTGCTGAATTGTTTGAATTGCACCAACTGTTATGCAGCATTTCTTAAATCATGTATTCCCAAGGAGAATCCCACCTCTTTGCTGCTGTAAAGGAATAGTAGCTCCCATGGAAAGCAAAGGTGGTGTGCTTTGCCCTGTTCTTTTCATCTATATATTAGAGAACAGGAAGACTTTGAGGGCAGCTCTCCCTCTCTGAAGATAAGGGTATGTCTGGGCATTTCTGAAGAGCTGTAAGGTCTTCACTGAGTGCAGAGGTGACAAAACATCTTCCTCCACTGGGAGATGAAAGAATGAGCTGTCAATTTGTTTAGCTCTCTTCCTGTCTAATGACATAATCAACTGTTAAAATTGCTTCTCTGGTATGAGCCGGAACTCTGGCACTGCACGGAGTTATCTGGGACATTGCCCAGAACCAAAACTGTACCAGCCACTGAGGATTTGGTGAGTGCTAATTAATAATTCTGTATTGAAAAATGAGGCTGCAGGAGGTAGTAGCTTTTCTTTCTCCTCCTGTTTGTTTATAATCTCTCTGGGTTCTGTGTTTTCCTTGGAGCCCTGCTGGTCACAGGACTGGTGCCTTTCTGATGGTGTCAGCAGCAGCCACGAGGGAAGAGCAGGACATTTGCATTCCCCATATGAGATTTTGCAGCAAATTTTTAAAACTTCAAAGCCTTTAAATGGATGTCTTCAAATCATTCAGGACTTTAAAATACTTATTAATAAGACATGGAACTGTTCACATCATATTTTGTAATTTAAATTTAGAGTGCCATTGTGAAATATGGACCTTCAGAAACATAAAAGTGACACAAAGGTTTGCAGCAGGTGGTGTACAGCAGATGCTGTGTCTGGAGGAAGGGTTTTGCTCTTGTGCTTTGTTCTGCAGCTGTTATTGCTAACCTGACAAAGTCTATTTTAGCTTTTTAGTTATTGATTTAAAGCTTGCCTTGGTAGCTCTTCCTCTTAAGTGGAAAAGTGTAATGAAAAAATAGTAGTAAATAGTTTTTCAATAAAGCAAGATGGACTAGATTTTGTATTTGCTCAGCACTATTTTCTTAACTGGGACAGCTCAAAAAGTATGTTTTGTGATATATGTGTGCTAAATGTAAAAGAAACATCCCTGAAAATATTTTTGAAAGGTTTGGCTGGGTAGTCCTGGGAGTGCATTTAGTATCATTGTTGTCATGTAACATTTTTTCTTGCAAAGGGATGATGGGTGTATGCAGTGTTCAGCTCCCATCTGCGGGAGGAGGGTGAGGGCTGAGGTATTAGTTTGTTTTTGGTGAGACATGCTGGTGTGACAGACTCTCTTTCTGTGCCAGCACTGGCACACTGGCAAGCTCTGCTCAGGATCTGGCCTTGCTCTTTTTCCCTGGTTCAATGGCCTCTGTGAGGGTGTGTGAGCAGGGTTGTGTCCATCATCCTTACATTGTTCAGAGACTTCTTTGGGATGCAGCAGGAGGGGGACTCTGAGGTACAGCAATGTATAACTGTGCAGGTCTCTGTCTGCCTTTGGCTGCCACACAGAAACACACCAAATTCTTCATCATCATGCCAAATTCTTCGTTATCACTCTCCTTGGTTGCAATCTTCCAAAGATAACGAGGCTTGGATGAGGTGGTCAAAGCACATGTGCCAGAGTCAGATGTGGGGAGCTTTAGGCAACAGTGGATGAGATGAGCACCCTGTGGCTGCTAACTCAGTCTGACTTCAAACAAGATCTTCCATGCTCTCAGCTATTTTCCCCTTCCCCTCCTGCATCCTGTAGAGATTAAACCAAAGGGAGTATTCCAGACTGCATGTGAAGTCAGAGAAAATAGGACAGAATGTGCAAGTTCAAAAGAAATACAATGACTGTATGTACCATTGCATGTCTTTACTTGAAGATGAGTTTTGCACCTACCATAGTGAATCAACAGTTGGATGTGTTGTTAAAACCATATTTTTAATTTAATTTCTATTCTTTTGACTATAAATGAGGATTTCAATGGTTTAGAACACAATTTGTCCCATTAATGTTTCTATTTCTTTTTTCAAGTGAAGGTCACTTTCTGTATTTCTCTGGGATCAAATCCATATTTATTATCAATATAACTAAGATTGAAAGAAATTTTTCATAAGTCTCTGGATATTTTGTGTCATGTATATAGTACAGTACATGTATATGCATGCACTTTTTGACAGCACTGTTAACAGAGCATGTCTGCATTTTTAGTGTGTTACCCACAGCTTGAATTTTCTTTCCAAAATTATTTGGTTTACAAATACATATTACTGTATTTGTTACCTAAACACAGCAGTTTCATAGTTGCAACTCTCAAAAGAAATTAGCATTTTCCCAGATCCAGGTATTTAAATGTGTCTGGTTATATCCTCCTCAGAACAGTAAAATGGAGTTGCTCCTGTTGAAGTAGAAAGAATATCAGAAACGATGATATCAGAATAGCATCAACTTTGGTGCTGTTCTTCTGTTAATAACACCAGAGCAACCATTGTGTTCTCGATAGGACCCGGTGACCTCACTGGGGTGGTGGCAGGTGCTCCCTGTGACAGGGACACAGATGCCAGGGGTGGCTGGCAGAGGGATGTGCCCCGGGGTCAGGGGTGGCTGGCAGAGGAATGTGCCCCGGGGTCAGGGGTGGCTGGCAGAGGGATGTGTCCCATGGTCAGGATCTGCCTCCTCCCAGCATCCTGCCCCCAGTGGTTTGGGATCTGCTGCACCACACAAATGCCATCACATTTCCTTCCTGATGCGTGGAAAAGGCAGACAGTCGGGCACATTTTCCACTTCTGAAATCCCTCATATCCCTTGGCACATTTGGTGTTTGCCTGAGGTGCTGGGCTGGCTGGAATGCTCCCCGTTCCAGATGGCCACTTCCATGCTGTACTCAGGGCTGTGACGACACCGTGTGAGCTCACGTAAGCCAGCACACTCTGCTGCCACTGTGCACCACACCTCCGCAGTTAAACTGGTTTATTTACAGAAAAAATAGGTTGTTCCCCTGGGGCTGAACTAGCTTTTCTCCTAGAGGCTTTGTCCACTGTGTTTTGGTTAAATTTTGTACTAGAAATATATATACACAGCAATCATAGATACAATTTCCATTGATTTAAGTGAGAATTCCTACTTCCCTTGAGATACTTTGAATTTCCTAATTCAAGTGAGTAGAGATTTGACATTTCTGCCTCCTACATGAAAGTTCAGTAAACCATCTTGACTTATAAACAGGATGGAAATAAAACTGCAAAGGTCATGTGCTTATGGGCTTTCTGAAATAGGAATGGATATAAATTGTGTTCTTTGGGAATTTTTATGATTAACTTTCAAGTTTTTAGAAGACAGAACGTAGGTAACAATTTTAATTCTTTTTTTAAGGGCCTGAGTCTCTTATTGTACTGTTAATTCCCTCCAGTTTCCTTGCAAAAGAAATATTTGAACAGTCTTATGGTTATGTTGTCATTTGTTTAGCTTAAGCAACTCAAGAATTATTAAAATGCATTAGGTTATAAATTATGTGGATTGCTAGCTCATCTATATTATCTGTCATCAGATAAAACATGTAATTAGATTTCTGGATAGAAAGTAGTTAAACAATCTGAGGAGGAAAACACTAGACTTGAAAATATTTAAATCATAAACCTCCTTCTGGTGATCTGGAAATGGAAAGAAATGTGGGTTAATTTAGAAGGGATATTTTATAATAGTAAATAAGCTGACAAATTTCATGTGCAGTGGGGTTTGCTTTCTTAAACCAACAGTTCTTACCCAACAGTTGGCAGGATAAAATAGTTACTTCTAATGGAAAATAGTTATTTCTAATGGAAATTCTTACTAAAAATGTGGTTTGTTCTGGCTCCAGTGGAAGCCAGGGTAAAGGCTTTTACAATGGCTTTTCAATGTATAAGGTCAGAAGAGTCTTTGGGAAGATAACATAACGAAATGACATTGTGATATTTTGGTTATCAGACAGGTGTGTAGGGGTGAGTGTGCATTAGGGTTTTTGTTTGGGGTTTGTTTGGTTGGTTTATTCTTTTTTAATAATTTTTTATTACCTAAAATGGGTCCTGGTTACAAATAGAGTATCTGGTTGTTGTTCTGGCTCAAATAGAAATGCTGTATGTCAAATTTCAGTGCATGTAACACCAGGTGATAGATCATGCTAACTGATGACATCCAGTCTGTATAAAACAGTTACCTGTTAAAATAATGTTACCTTATTTGTCTTTATCACTGTGCATTTTCTCATTTCATGCAATTACTAATAAATTTTAAAGTAATTTTAACAACAAAACCCCAAAGCAACTGTCCTGGCCATGTAATTGCCTGTACCTGTGTCCCACCCATTTAATATTGGCTCCCCTTTGTCCAACACCATCAAGCAGCTCTCAGCCTGTGGATCTTGGCCTTGCAGGTGGGGAAGTGGGAGAACAACTCCCTGAGCCTCAAGTACTCGGTGTGGCCGAGGTACAGCTCCTTCGCAGACAGCGACCCCGACGACAACCACCTGAGCATTGTCACCCTGGAGGAGGCTCCCTTTGTCATCGTGGAGGATGTGGATCCTCTCATGGAAAGCTGCCAAAAAAACACGGTGCCATGCCGGAAATTTGTCAAACTTAAGTGAGTAAATTCACAGTGTTCCCTTTTGTTTTCCCGACTGCAAAATATAGTCCTTTATTTTCTCATTGAATATGTCAATCCTTCCCTATCTTCCCTTCCTTCCCTTGCTTCCTTCCTTTCCTCCCTTTCCTTCCCTTTCCTTCCCTTCCTCCCTTTCCCATTTGCTCTTTTCACATCCTCCTTTTTAAATAGTTGAGAGTTTCTGGTTATACACGTGTAAGTCACGTTGAGTTGTTAACAAGATAGGAAGTTCATAGTAAATTCAAAGTCAATGAGAATCAGCCCTTTTCAGTCACATGGAAGAAGATTGTGCTCCAAAATGGGGCTGTTTTAATGAGTCTTCTTTGAATTGTTTCCAGTCATGTTGAGATACGCCTGCTTTCATTAGTCTGTAACAATTTGAAAATGTCTCCTAATGAAAATGTAAGTTTATGCTGAAATTTGGTACAGAATAAACCACTCCAGCATAAAATACCACTGTGACTTATTATCAAGAGAAAAGTCCCCTTCTGTCAGTGCTCCATAACTTCAGAGCAGTCATTAGAAATCAGTAGAATAGTTTCCACTGTACATTTGTCAGTCGTGTTTCACCTGCTATGCCTTGATCTGTGTATTTATGAACTGAATATAACAGGATTTTTACTGAGCAGGTGTGAGGGAATATGATGCATGTTTCTGAAGATTTCCAGAGGCTGCATGGTTGTGCATATGCTTCCTGAAGTCCAGAGAAATTTATTTTTTTAGTTAAGTTCTAAACTAGTTTTATTTTAATTTTGAATTTTTCCAAAGGCTGCAAGATACTGCCTTGCCTTCTGAAGATGCATATACTAAAAGGTCCTAGAAGTCCCAAAACAAACATTTCAGAAAAAAAAGGTGAAGAGAAGACTTGCATCCTTGCGCTTAAAGGCGGCCTGCAGTTCACCTTCTCCTAGTGCAGGGAAAGGTGCACTTTGAGAAGATGCATCCATTTCCAGCATGGTGAACTGCTGTGCCTTTTTATAGCTTACATGTTCTTTAATTACTAAATGACATGTAGTCTGATGTCTTGAGAGTAAAAGTAATAAAAGTTTAATCTGATCCTAAGAGAGAGATTAGTAAGAGCAGGCTGTATGTCTTGATGGAGCAGTGCGGTGCGTGAGGCTGCATCCTGGAGCAGAAGGATGTCATGCGAGGTAATGTTGTCTGTGTGTCTCACCAAGCAGCTCTGTCATGATTAGCAGGAGCTGAAAACACCATATAGCTATAAAAGCATCCTGTGGGTTATTTTTGCCTTGATTCAGAAAAACATGGTCATTCACAAGAGTGGCAAAATGTTGTTTCACAGTGTGCTGTATCTTGCTGTTGTGCTGCCTCTGTTTTTCCCAGCAGAAATATTTATGTGTGGTTTGTCTGTTGACAGCAACAAAACTAACGAGGGAACTAACGTAAAGAAGTGCTGCAAAGGATTCTGCATCGATATCTTAAAGAAGTTGTCTAAAACTGTCAAGTTCACATATGACCTGTACTTGGTGACGAATGGGAAGCACGGCAAAAAAGTCAATAATGTGTGGAATGGAATGATTGGTGAAGTAAGTTCTCTTTTAGGTAAAAGAGTTCCTAAGAGCTCAGAGATGTCTGTATGAGCTCTTCTGGAGGAAGGGGGAGTTCTGTGCTGACTCTGGTGTGTGTTGTCCCTGTGATCAGGTGGTGTACCACAGGGCAGTAATGGCTGTGGGCTCTCTCACCATCAACGAGGAGCGCTCGGAGGTCGTTGACTTTTCGGTGCCGTTCGTGGAGACTGGGATCAGTGTCATGGTGTCACGGAGCAACGGCACGGTTTCACCATCTGCTTTCCTAGGTATGGTCTCCAGCCTGTCCAGATAACCTCATGGCATTTCTGTAGAGTTTGGTAGATTTAATGGTGTGTTAAGATATGTAGTACATTAACACAGTTCTGTTGAGTTTTGAATTTTACTTTAAGAAGTTTGTTCTGTGTTGATGTACTGATTAACATGATCATTAACACATGGACACAGTGCTGTTGGTTTTGGATGCTGAAAATGAAAACCAAAGATGGTGATTTCACTATGAAAAACAATCCCCTAAAATCTTCAGTTAGGAAAATTACATCCTCAACCCTGCTTCCCTACAAACTAACTTATACTTGTTTAGCCCATCATAATTTGCTTAACATCTTTTTAATATTCACAAAATAATTGAAAAACCCATTGTAGAGTTGAGGAGCAACTTCCTTATCTTTAATTTAAAGCCAGCTTGGTAACACTAAAACCATTATGTGGAAAAATAAATAATCAGTATATTCCAGATATCTTAGGGCACAGTTTAGAATGTTCAAGTCCATTGAGTCAGCAGTGAGGCCAGTCCTAAATTACTGAGTGAAAATTCTTCACTCCCCCTGAAGTTGCTCACAGACACTGAAGAATACATTAGTGGTGTCGTATCAGATATAAGCAGGCAAAAAATTGATTTTCTTACACAAGAATCATCATTTAACCACAGAGCTTATTTCTTATATCTCTTCCATAAAAACACTTTACAGAGATGATGCAAGTAAATATGACACAAGTAATCAAATAATGTCCCAAATGTGGTGATACCTAAGTAGATTTTGTTGATATTTGATAAGAATGAAAGACTTTAAGTGAAATTGCAAGAAACTGTACTTGTAATGAAAATACTCAGAGAGTATCTTTTTATTTCTTTGAGTCATTGAGTTGTAAAGTTCATTTTTTAAATTGCAGTTGCAGCATGTTTGAAATGACCATTGGAAATAGGAATTGGGATGTTTTCTAAAGTGCAAGTGCAGTTGATATTTTACCTCTCTCTTAAAAACCTGTTTACAGCCACCATCAAAAGAGAAGCTGCTTTTGCATTTTTCACAAGCAGCAGCATTATTAGATTTCTAAAATGCATTTAATATTATTGGTTTAGTTGGTCGTGTATATAATTCAAAAGAAACAAAAAAAGAACCCCATCTCATAAAGCCCTCTAAAATAGCTCTACTTTTGAAGAAATCTGATTTTACTGCACTAATAAATCAAGTCTGTGCTCTCAGAAGTGTGCTCTGTTTTTTTCAGGCGTATGAAGCTGCCAGTTTGCTGGAATTGACTGTGTATTTTGATGAGGTGTGCGTAGTAGTAAAATGTTTTGCCTTGCAAAATACTATCAGGCAGATAACTGAATTTATTCACAGACTGATTTTGTTTCAATTAAGTGGATGTCTGAGAATAGAGTCACCTTACGTAAGACTTTTAAAAGATTTATAAAAAAAAATCTGTCAAATATAGTACTATTTTTAAAGAATAGCACTTGATTACAGTTCCTGAAATATCTGGGTTTGTGAATTGTTTCTTTGAATGTGGACAAGTACAGGATTTTGTGTGACTAGATTTTTCCAGTCAGTTGTTTTGTCCAGTAGCTCTGAGTAACTGATGGGCTGTGACAGCCTCGTCCTTGTTACCTGCTGTGTTCTGATTCTGATTGTCTCCTTCAAATGAGAATTTTATCCATGTTAAAACATTTTCACATTGTACTAGAGATAATATATACTAGATCTAAAAATACTTTTTTAATAATTCTGTGGAGTTTTGGTTCAACTTTGTTTAAACAACCAAATAAATAAAGGAAAACCTTAAATCTCCATTTCTATATTTTTTCAGAGGGAGAGTTCATAGGTGAGGTCAGTTTTCTTTTCTGGAGGCATTGATGGAATAGAAAATCTCTGCCCCTCTTTATTTAATGTATTGCTTAAGTATTGGTTTTGGTGGTGGGAGGTAGGACTCAAAGACATCTTTTCCTTGCTTGATATTCTCTGTTTTCAGTCATTTGACATACACACTAACAAGTCATATATTAGTTTTTTTCTGCCGTATTGTAGCTTTACTGAAAACTCCTTTAAAACCTGCTGCTTGCCTGAGGGAAATTCCCTTCCTGTCCTTTGAGAATCAAAGCACAGTGCTGAATGTGTAATTGGATCTCTGATATGACAGGAAGATCGACTTTGTTATTCAGTTGATTTTGTACTTGCTCATTCTTACTGCTTGCTATCCCAAATAGCTTTTTGTTTTCCTGTTGCTTCTATTAATTCACCACCTCATTACCAGACTCCTTAAATTATTGAAGAGAATTCTGCTTAAACTCTTGTTTATGGCTCACTTTTGTACATTGGCTTGTTTTGCCCTTTGCCTTCTTTAGATTTTGACAATTTACCATTGCTGTTTCTACACTGTTGCTTTTGATAAGAGTTTTATCAGCCTTGCTTTTTTCTGTGAGGATGTTGTCAAAATTTTACAGTAGTTTTACATGAATTCCAATTTAATCCAGTTACCAACTGAATTCAGAAAATATTTTTTAGACTGTATTTGGCTACATAATGTCCCTTCCCTGGCTGCATCTACATAGATCTTTCTTTGCCTTATACAAATTCTGTTATTTTCCTAACTTACCATTCTCTCCCAAACAAATAATTAACAGTATTTGAACGAAGTTCATACCCTGTCTTAAAAAGAAAATAATTAATTGCAAAATTACTGTTCCTTTGCAGGAGGAAAACAGTTTGGTTTAAAATATCCCTGCTTTGCCTTAGTTACCATCCAAAAGCACCAGTGGGGCTATTTGTGGTTTGGTCTTGTCTAAGTCACAGGTTTCTGGAGAAATCATAGCAAAGACAAGAAGATCTCATGGGTTTTCTATGCTTGGGCACAAATTATTACATTTCATTCTATTTTGGGTGAATCATCTGAATTTGGGCAAGGCTCAGATTGGGCTATTTGGCTTAGAACACCTCAGCTCTCAGTCATTGTCCTTTCCTGCAATGAGGGAAGAAGCTTCAGTGATTCTAATCTTAAATTCAAAGAATGAAAAAGCTACAAGAGAGGAACTTTTTGGGTTTTCAAAAACAGGCAAAACATTTTAACAAACTACTTTTCTGTAATTTCAATTTTTTCTTGATTCTGTCCTAATTAGAAATAGTATTCTAAGATTTGTTTTCTCACACTTCAGTGCACGCTCACACTTGCTTGATTTGCACAAGTTACGATGTGAAGTGCCCCAAATAAGTTGGCCTGATAAAGAGTTGTTTGTTTGCCATGCTGATCTTATCAAAGCAGCTACTGCAGGGACTCCTGAAATGGCAGAATCTGTGGTTGGGAAAGATGGTATTTGATATTGAGTCCTTTCAAAAAGTTGGTACTTAGTCTGGTAATTGAAACTGCTTTTAGTTTTATGCTCCAACCTACTTCTTTTACTTAATTATGATTCTTCTGTCTTTCAAACTGACACTTTTCCATAAGCCCTTTTGATTTCAGTAATTTGCTCCTAGATGAGAATGAGACATTCGAAAGGATGTGGTTGCAATTGATAAAAATAGCATCTTCATTGCAGTTAGATGAATGTAAACACAGAGAGAAAAGAATCCTTAAACAAAAGTGTTTAGTTTGAATGCAAGTATTTATCTTTCCTCCTGTAACACTTTTTGTTGGATAGAAAACGATAGAAAACATATGCTTAATTGCTTTTGCTTTGCAGAAACACAGTCAAAGAAGTTGGACCATTCTGTTGGTAAATTTCTATAATACAGGATGAATAGACACAGCAACCTGATTGTGGACTGAGAACAGCAAGTCAAACCAATTATGTGCCACTCAGTGTCCAAGAAAAGTGTGCAGCCTTTTGTTTTTAATTACAACTTACATTTCAGCTTTTGACTTTATGCATTTTGTCTACGTATACTAACAGCAGTTCATTATATAGTGCTTAGTTATTTGCTAGTATTTTTGTTGGAAAAAGCTAATGTAGAGGAAGCTGCTGGGCTTGCCTGCTGAGGATATTAGAATTCTTGTGCTGTGACTGGTTTAATGAACTGTGTTTCTGTTTCTCCTGTTTTGCTGCAGAGCCTTTTAGTGCTTCTGTCTGGGTGATGATGTTTGTGATGCTTCTCATCGTGTCTGCCATGGCTGTCTTTATATTTGAGTACTTTAGTCCTGTAGGATACAACAGAAACTTAGCACAAGGGAGAGGTAAGATTTGCATTTTACTCAACTCCATGCATCCATGGGTCTCCATCTTTTCAAATAAACATAACATAGGAATAAAACAATGAAATTAGCTATTAAACTGTTCATGTTCTTCATTTAAAGTATGATTTCTTGAAGGCTTATATGCTCATGTTTATAATTCCAATTCAATGGAATAAAGACAGGGAGCAGGATAAGTGGTATCAGAGTTTTATTCAGACAGTGTTTGGTTTGTACACAGTATCAGTTGTAAAGTGTCAGCAGTGAAATATATTCTACTCCTGGCTATTATGACCAGTTCAGAGAAAGTTACCTAAAATCCTGTGGTCTGCTGGGCAGTTTGAAAAATAGCAGTTATATTGTCCATAGTTTTGCATAGTCCCTGTAAAATTCAGAAGAGCTCTTAGCCTTGACACGAGGCCCCAGGCAGAAGGGCATCTCTTCTTTCTGTGTAGCACCCTCGGTTATAGAAACTTCATTTTCAAAACAGACAAGCTCTGTATTGACTCTTTCTCAGTGAAAGCTGCACTCTGACTCTAGAGTGAGGATTCCATATCTCACAATGCCCTCATCCTCCCATTTCTTAAGTGACATTTGAGAGTGCAACCTTTGTTAAAATTTCTAAATCATTCTTGCCGTGTTTCATAACAAGAGATCTTCCAGCTTGGTGAACACAGTTCTGGGCACTATTAAAAGCAAATGATTTCTTCTAGACAATGGCTGGCTTGTTCCCTGAAAAAGTGGATTATTGTAATGTTCAGATGATGTTATCATTTTAATAAGATGGTAAATGTGTAACCTCTGTCTGAAATAAACACTGTGTTAAAAGAGGGGAAATCAAAGGTGACTATAGACACGGGGGTCCAGGGGCTTGGCTGTTCTATTCGGTGCCTGAATTGATTATTTAGTGCACTTGCAGCTACAAAGACATGCTATGGCACTAGACCATCCCAAAATAACTCTGAAGACTTGCCACTAATGAAGCTGCCATTAATTTTAAACCTGGAATATATATAAAAAAATATATAATCTCTCATTTCCCTAGGCATTTTTTGCAGGATTAATCTCAGTAGTAGTATAATCTCCAGTGGCATAAACAGAACTTTAGATTGCTCCCTTGGCATATAATTTCTGTAACACTATTGCTCAGAAAAATGCACATTATCCCTGTATCAGCTCAGTCCTTAATATGTCTACAGGGTAGTTGCATAAACCAAAAGTCAGCTCCATTGTGTTCGTTTTACTGCACTCTATTTTCCTAGTGCTGCTGCAGAATAGGAGCATAATCTAAGATTAGAGCTTGACTGCATTGTGAAATATTTGCACTGCACTAGAGAGCATTTCTACTGATATGAGAGCATGTAATGAGTATACCCACTTAGGGTTTTATTATTTTAAGAATCATTGAATAATTATTAAAATAAATTATAGTTTAAATGAATAGCTAAATCTATATTTGTAATGTGCATCCCCCTGGATAAAGGGACAGGGCAGGGAAGGAGATAAAGTTACAGATTTCTGCATCAGAGCTTATTGACTAAATTGCAATTGAACTGAAAAAAGGATAATTATAAGTAGGCCAAATGAGTCGCAGTCAGGGAAGGCCTGTTTCTCTGCACTGGGGGTGCAGGGAGTCTGGATGATGAGCAATGTGTGATGGCATTGTGCTTACCTAGAGCTGGGTGAGAACAGCTGCCCTTGCTTCTCTCAGGGCTTTGCAGATGGGGCCTTTGGGGTGGATAATGGCATTGTTAATTCACTTCTGCCCCTCTGCTGGCCACCTCCAGCTTTGGGGTGAATTAAAAGATGACCAAAAATAGAAATAACAAAATTTACAGAATGACTTAGCTGGGACAGAATTTCACCTGTAATGTCAACACATTTGGAGCCACAGAACATGAGGCAAGCAGAGCCTGGCTTGTTCTAAATTCCCTGTCTATAGAGGTAGCTCCTTTGTTCTGTCTTTCTGATTCATGCTCTGAGTACAAAGGTGCTTAAAAGTAGGTGACACATTCACACACTTTGATCTTAAAAATGCTTACATAATGTTCAAAAAGCATAATGTTGGATGACTGGAGTTGATAAAAATAATTTGGGTAAGAAAAGTACTAGAATTGAATCATTAAACCTCCAGTTTTCCATTTCACATGTTTGCTTGCACAGAAAACTGACAGGGCAACACTGTGGCACATTTCTTCCTGCAGGAGACATACCAGCCTGCTTCTCCTCCAAACCTATGCTTTCCTTTCTCATCTTAAAAATTTTGAACATATGCCACATAGAAAAATGTTGAATTATGTTTTAAAAATGTGGAACTCTTTGTCATTGCAAGGAGGGCACCTATGGTAAATCCTGTGAGTATATTTGCAGTACAGTGAATTTATATACCAAAATATTTTCTAACCATGTCTCTGGGACTAATGGGTTGTCCCTCATGGTATAATGGCAAGGTTTAATTTAACTGCAGCTGAACTAAGTGCACTTTGCAATTGCAGATCCCCATGGACCATCCTTCACCATTGGAAAGGCAGTGTGGTTGCTGTGGGGCTTGGTCTTCAACAACTCTGTGCCTGTGCAGAACCCCAAGGGGACAACGAGTAAGATCATGGTGTCAGTCTGGGCTTTCTTTGCTGTCATTTTCCTGGCCAGCTACACTGCCAACTTAGCTGCCTTTATGATTCAAGAGGAATTTGTTGACCAAGTGACTGGGCTGAGTGATAAAAAGGTAGGTATTCAGTTCAAAAGATGTCAGTGTGCATTCTCCATAATCCTTCTACAAATTTGTACTTCGTGATAAAAACTCTGAGCAAGATAATGAACTAAAACTGGTTGATTTCCTTCTGAGTGCAAGTGCAAACTTTACTAACAAACCTAAGACCCAAAGCATGAAAATATCAGTCTGTTTTCAAAATCTCTGCATGCCTGTTCAAAAGTAGCTGCATTAACTGAAAATTACCTTTATTTTTTGATAGAAATCAGTTAGTGTTTGGTTAAAAAGAATGCCTCACCAAAATAAAAAGCTTGAAGATTTTTGTGGGATATTAGTAGTATATTAATAGAAAAAAGTCCATTTGCAAAATTATTGTGATGGATATGCACATGATACCTGAAGGGTATGCTTTTGTAAGTCTGTGCCCAGTTGTTTAAAAATGAAACTAAATATTGACATTAAGAAGAAATATTTAAATACAGTATAGCCCAGGGGACAACTTCACAAAGGGGTTTTTTCTCAAAGGACAGAAAATAAAGGAAATTGTTACTAAAAACAAATCAAAAAGGCAACATCTCAGCCTTGTCTGTCTTTTTTTGTTTTAACTTCTTTTTGTGACCAGCCTTTGATTGATTGCCTGGTATATCAAAGCAAGCATGGCTAGAGGAAAGATAAAAAGAAACAAAAAATGATAATAGTTTTGTTTTCATTTAATTATGTTGTCACACAACTTTTGAATGAGCATGAAGATTGTTAAATATCCCTCTATTTTAAGATAACATTCTTAAAAGAGACAGATAAATGGCATTCTCTCTTGGGGATTAAAAAAAAGAAGATTTGAGGAATGTCTTTCTGCTGTTGGTGAGAAGGAGCAGAGCATTTTCCTGGGCCCTGGTTTTGGCAGGCTCTGCCTTGCACCTGGCACAGCAGTGGGCTCAGCTCTGACTGACCCTCAGCTTCCCCTCCTCGCTGCCACAGGGCTGGAAATGTCAGCTCTTGTTCTGGAGCTCTTGGCTAAAAACTTCCTTGGTTTTGTCATTTTTTCTATTCTGACTGCTAAGTAGGATTTCGTTTCCACAAAAAGCAAAATAAAAATAGAAAAATACTTGAATCAGAAAATACCATCTGTTCTTGTGTGGTCTGCTGATCATTTATTTGATCTGCCACCTTTGTTTCTATGTTTTGGTTCTTCAAACTTTGCCTGAAGCACATAGATATAAGTCAGGGAAGCCATGCCTTTTCTGATTAAATTAAAAAAGTTAGAACTCCAGAAGAGCAATTGAACTACTTCAGAACATTCTTCTTGTCATAGATAGGTTTTGCCTGCTCCATAATCCTGAGGTTTCTTGGATTTTAAAAAACAAAATAATCTGGGATAATTTATAGGAATGTAATCTGATTGATGTTAAATTATTTTTCTCCCATTTTTGCTGTGTTTATACAGTTCAGTACAGAACTCTGACCCTTGCAGGAAGCAAAACAGTCACAGGCAAGGGCCAGAAATGTGGGTATAAATCAATTTTGAATAATTAATATCTAAAAGTTCACTAAATTTTTTACAAAAAATTAAAAATCCAACCCCCACTTCTGGGCTGGTAAATCAGTTTGTTACTCTTCTCTCCCACTTTTCCCACTGCCACACCTGAAGAGTCAGGCTCTTCTGTCAATGTTGTACTGCCAGTGCAACAAAGTGTTTCCAGTTAGAGATACTGGGGTGTGATGGAAAAAACAGGAAACATCAGGAAAACACATCCCTCTCTCTGAGCAGCCCCCCTGACCCTCAGCACTCAATGCTGTCCCATTCAGAAGTGTGTTGCATTCTATCAGCTGCTTCACCAGATTTGCTGACGTGATGATAATGTGTTATTTACTCCTTGATGCTCTAAGACCTCTTTATAATTTCCTCATCCCTTGAAATGTTGCTAATGAATTTGTGAATGCCATGTCATCAGAGTGTCACCCAGAAATACATGGCACAGCACGTTCTGGAGTGAGGAGGGGTGGGTGTTCATAAACTCAAATGATTCAGCAAATGAGAGGAAAATGATATTTTGACATTCTTGTGTATGTAATAGATGTTCAAAAGCTTTGCCTTCATCAAAAGGTACAGAAAATGAGTCCAAAGTATCCAGCAAAGACTGAAATTCTTGGCTTTTGTACTTTTGAGACCTTTTATGCCTATTTCATGCAATGAAACACGAAAATTTGCTGAAGGAGGGTAGGTAGCCCTGCACAGAGCTGTCTCACAGAGTGCTGTTCTGCTGGGGTTCTGCCACACTTAGGAATTGCCTCACATACACATTCCAGGAGCTTCTCTTCAGCTTTAACAGGAAACCTTGATGATGCCCCTGCCAGGCTCCTTATTTTTGCAAGATTCAGAGTGTAGCCTTGGCTTTCTGCTCCCGTGCCCTAGGATGGCACAGCAGTCACCGTCACTGAGATGTGTCTGTGGCAGCAGAGCAGCAGGGCCACAGGCAGGGAGGGAGAGCCTCTGAGCCAGCCCCTCTCACACTGCCCGATATCAAACAAAGCTTTCTGTGCTTCCTGAGGCTGGGCAGGCACGGCTGTCCCTGCACTGCAGCACCTGGTGATCATAGGGACACTTTTGGGGTGACTGATGGCTGCATCTTTGTAGGATCACAAGTCAGAATGCCAGGTTCCCATCTGGTAAAAGAGGAAAGGAAAGGGTTCAAATATGGCTGTTCTTCTGTCACTCCAAACGAGTTGTAACTCCTGCTCCCAACAGGAGATTATTTACTGTTTTCAAGTATTTTAGTAGTGTTTCCCACAGTTCCTTAAAAAACTCCAGAACAATAACAAACAGCTGCTCTCAACACCAGCCTTTTCAGGCAAGCAAGTAAATCTTTAAGTCAATATGTAATGCTTCTGGAAGAACACTTTGCTGACTTAATGAAATTGCCAGTTTTATTCAGGCATATAGGAAAAAAAAAAGGAAAAAGCAAAAGACTGGAGTTGTGCTGCCACGTGCTGCAGTTCTTTTGGGTGGCAGAGCAGGGGGAGACAAGAATGAATTAATTGGTCACTCTTCAGAGTAACAGTAGAGCTCTCCACTATGACTCAAACAAGGGCCTTGTGCATTCAGTTCAAGAATTCTGCCCATGATTTAAAAGATCAGCATTTCATGAAATGTCTAGGAAGAAAATTATTTCCTAGCAAACACGACACATTTTTTTTCTCATCATGGGGCTTTAGGGAAAATGAATGCATGTTGAGATAGGAAAAAAAAAAGGAAAAAGCAAAAGACTGGAGTTGTGCTGCCACGTGCTGCAGTTCTTTTGGGTGGCAGAGCAGGGGGAGACAAGAATGAATTAATTGGTCACTCTTCAGAGTAACAGTAGAGCTCTCCACTATGACTCAAACAAGGGCCTTGTGCATTCAGTTCAAGAATTCTGCCCATGATTTAAAAGATCAGCATTTCATGAAATGTCTAGGAAGAAAATTATTTCCTAGCAAACATGACACATTTTTTTTTTTCATCATGGGGCTTTAGGGAAAATGAATGCATGTTGAGCCTTGATTTTTTTTTTTTTTTCCCTTTCTTGTCTTTTGCCTGCCAATAGATCTTTGCTGCAGTCACAGACAGTGACAATCCTGTGTGCTTCTCCAGGACGTGGCAGTTCACAGAATATAAGTTTAATATTATTGATGAAACTATTATTCATCTCAGATATGACTGCAGTGTTAGTAAAAAGATTTAAACCTATTTCTTCTTTACAAGTAGTCTGTGAGCAGGCAGTAGTAGCAGATGATGGTTTCAAAAATAATCTCCTTGTGAGTGATAAAATTTTTTGGTTGGTGCCAACAAATTCCAGTCTGTAGATGGGGTTTGGAACTATTAATCTGCTTTTTAACTCTGTGACTTTTGAATGAACTTGGGGATTTTATTCATCCTTATCTTCTGCAGAAATGTTTCTGTCTTCCATGAACGTTCAATTTGAACAGATGTGTTAATTCTTTCAACTATTCCTATGAGAGGAAATGCCTGCCAACATCCTAGATTCATATGAATGTTCTTGAAAAGTGAGACTATTTAAAAACAAACTCCATTTTGAAATCACCAGAATACTCCACCATAATATCCCTGTTCCCCCAGTTCCCCTGCCATTCCCCAGTTCCTCTGCCACACTGGAAACTGAGCTTGCCTCAGTTTCTCACCACAGCTGAATTTCCAAAAAATCCCAGCAATATAAATAGCAGCAAGTCTTACAGGTCCTGAAATTGGCAGTTCTATTTTTTTCAGTTCTATTGACTGTCAAATTTAGGAGACACATGAAGCCATATCAATACATCAGAGATACATCAGCTCTAGATTTAAATAAATTTGATAGCAAGCTACATTTATATCAATAGAATCTCTGGTCATATATTTAAAAGCAGGGTTTGTTTCGGTGTTGCATAATAAACTCAGAAAGGGAGATGGCAAATATAGACTAAGAATCATGAGTAGTGTACAGTGTAATTTTGGTGCATGGGTCAATTACTATGTGTAAAAGTAGTAGCAAAGTTATAATTTAAACAGTAAAGCTCTGAAAAGGGAGAATGAGGAAAGTAAGACATCTGTTAGCTAAACAAATAAAGAAAAATAGAGTTCATTCCTTTATGCTTTGTCAAAATATACTTAATTAAAATGAAGTATTTAATTGTAGTTCTGTAACAAGAAAATTGTGTTGCAGCAATAATTTCACAGTCAAGGTTTGATGGAATTGAAAATACTCCCATTTTTTTTTTATAAACCCATTTGTATTCTCTTTGCAAATTGGCACTGGATCTTGGGAATTCTTGATGCCCTGGGACCAAATGTTAAATAGAGAAATATTTCGTATGGAGCCCCAAAGAAATCAGTAGCTGTATAAATATTAGGCATCTCTTGCAGCACAGGATATATAGATTGCTCTTCTAACTTCAACAATAAAACCAGAGTGCTTTTAGAGTGGAATTCATGGGTGACTGCTTTTATCAATGCTCAATTCAATTTCCTCATTAGCCAATAGTTCCTCTAATCTGATTGACCTTTTCCATTTGTTTCTTAAAGAGACATTTTAATCCTAAATTGTCACAGGGGTTTTAGAGGAAGATGTTGAAAAGGTGCATATAAAATTTTCAGATCTGTTAGCAAAAAATTGATGTGAGATTATTTGAAGGATTGCCAAGTGTGGAACCAGGAATATGCCCTGAGTTATTGCCATTCCTTTGCAGATCCCCCCTGGCTGGTTCATCTGTGCTGATGCAATAATGATAGAGAGAGTAAAATTGTAGAATAAACCTGTATGTACTGAAGAAATGGTTCATATTTTTAAATGGTAGGGTTGAACAGGGACTAGGATTCCAGGTGTGGGAGCTCCAGAAGCCCTTCTTATATCAACCTGTGAGTTGCTGAGCCCCTGTGGAAGCTGCAAGAGCTTTTATTCCCCTCCAGTCCTGGGTGGAAGGAAACTCCCTCACTCTGCCTCTCCCTGGCACAGCTTGCTGCCATCCCTGGCACCCTCCAGGACTGGGCTCCCTGCTGAGTACTGTGGATGATCCTTTTCCCATCAGGAAGATGGGGAATCACAATGTCCCAGCTGAGATGGAGGTGTGAAATGACTATCAACAAAGTACTCTTTTCCTTTGGTTGCAGTTTGCCAGTGTGTTTGGATTGGGTTGGGTTTTGCGTTCCCTAGGGAGATGCTGGCAGATGAGGATCTGCTCCAGTTTCTGCTGTCCTGCCAAAGTGCAAAGCAGGGGAGAGAGTAACATTTGAGTGCCAAAATGGAGCTGGTTTTACTTTGGACGTAATTATGTTCAGTTAGTGTGAAGACAGTTTCTGGTATAATAGACCTGAACTGACCCACAGCATTTGCCTAGAAGAAATTTGAGGCAATTTACACAACTTCTGTCTTTTTCAGCCTGAAATTTTGGATGTCTGAAACACTTTGCTTGTCCCCTTTATCTCTAGTTTCAAAGGCCACATGATTATTCACCTCCTTTTCGGTTTGGAACGGTCCCAAATGGAAGCACTGAGAGGAATATCCGAAACAACTACCCTGATATGCACCTCTATATGACCAAGTTTAACCAGAAAGGAGTCGAAGACGCCTTGGTCAGCTTGAAAACTGGGTGAGTTTTTTCCCATGGTTTTTAAAGAATGCTTTTCCGTAAACTTTTCAGAAACAGAGAACTATTGCTCGGTGCTTTCTGTGGTACTGAACAGACTGATGTCAGGCTGCTGTGCACCGCATGGTGCTTTTTTTTTCCCAGCTGTACACTTATGAAAAAGGAAAATGATTGACTGTGATTTCTATGGTTGTTTTAAATTACATGGTAGCTTCAGTGTCTTATGAGAAGTAGTTTCAAAGTGCAGAATTAATGTTTCTTGAATTTGAAGACAGTACAGTGTCTTGTTATCTTTGCAGTGCTGCCTAATCCTGCTTCTGACAATCTTGGTAAATATTTGGGTAAATATTATTGCCCTTCTTTCTTAAGATCTGAGATTTAGTCTTGAGGGCCATCCATCCTTTTCTGTCTGAAGTAGCCCAATCTGCCTGATTGGACAAAGAGACAAATTTCCATTCTTAATCCTCCAAAGGCATGAGAGTGACTCATTGCTCATATCATTATTCATCTGGGTGACAGGAATCTGCTAGCTTTAAACATTTAGGCTTGATAGCAACATGATTATATTTGTTAATAATACAGTAATAATTTTAATTTCTCAATATAGGCTTTTTAGGTTTTGTTTTGAGGCGAGAAGTTACTTAATGGGTTTAAGTATATGTGCTCTAGGGGTTGTTTCAAGGAACACCTCTCCTCATTTATGGTGAACACAGGATGTTTCTTCCTATACTAAAATATCCTCTTCTGGTCCTTTTTGGGGAACTGCTTATCATTTTAATTTTTACTCCCCTTCTGCCAAACCTGTATAGGAGTTTATAATGTATTACTTAAGCAAAACACCTTGAAATCCTGAAACTTTTCCTTAGAATGAAGACTCCCTTAAAAAGTTATCCTTGCAGCTGTTTCCTTCTCTTCTGTCTCCTTGCTGCTGTCTGGACTCTGTCTGCCCTCATTTCCCCAGGCACTCTCTGCTGGCACTTCCCAGGCTGGTTTGTCCCAAGCCAGGCCAGATGTGTGACATTGCGTGAGATCAGCCTCGCCCAGGGGCTTCCAGACTGCAGCTCCTGCTCCGACCCAGCCTGTGCCAGTCACCTTTGCTGGGTGACAGCTGAATTATGCACTAGAGATAGACAGTTGGATCCTACCATTCCTGCTGCGAATTTCTGAAGGAGATGTCCTGATTTCAGCCATTTGTAGGGCTTGTTCTGTTGGATGGACAGTTTATTTAAGGGATGTATACTGCTTGTACTTTTCACCAACCATTTGTGCTACTGAAAGCCCTGAAAAACTGCTGTTAGCTTGAAAATCAGGCCATTCCTCAGACACTTAAGTGTGAAAACAGGGGGGCCAACCTGACTGCAGGGCTGTTCAGGATGTTCACTGAAACTCAGGCTGGCTGCTCCTGGGACAGCTGATGGTCCTTGTCAAGAGCTTTGCTCCTTTTGACAGCATCAGCTATTCATTTTTGACAGATTCCTTTTCCCCTGTTGAAGTTTCTTTTCTCATCTGAGTGATTTCTCTGTGTGGATACCCCCAGGTGTCTCCCTTGCTCCCCTTGACTGATATTTCTGTAGCAGATGGTACAAATAAACTTCTGGGTCAATACAAGTAACTGCTGCCTCCAGCTGTGCTCCTTGGGATTGTGTCTGGTGGCACCTGCAGAAGGATTGAACAGCAGGATGTCAGCTGCTTTCAGACTCATATTCTTCAAAAACAATTTTTCATTTTTCTGCCAGATTTTCTGTTCTTCAGCATACAGAATTGTATCTTGTTTCTCTCCCCCTCATGATTTCATTGACCAAATCCTTTTTCTTTTCCATGTAAAAATTGCCCTTTCATCTTTAACTAGACCTGATGAAGTCTAGTTGAGACATCTTTAACTTCTTTCCCTCCCTGATTCACTGGATTCCATGATATTTGGTATATCTGGTCCCATGGAGTCTGTGTTTCTATGGTTCTTTTGAAGGTCACTCATCTCTTCTTCCTCAAACTGCTTCTGCTTCCAAATAAATATATAATTTCTATTTTCCTCTTCAATGTGTGTCTCTTCACCTTATTACAGCTACTTTGTCTCTTTTCATCTTTATCTCTTTCCAAAACTATTCCTGTACTTCTATATTTTTTTTTTTTTTCATTCTCATCCTTGGGGATGCAACAAGCAACTTCCTTATCCATGGTAAGACTTGCTGCTTCTGCACAGCTTTTTGAAAATGAACTGTCTGATAATTTTAGTCATAGTCTATAGACTGAGAAGGACTTGCAAAGAATCTGGTTGATAATTGCTGCTGTGAGTTAAAATAAATATGAACTATGTTATCCCTGAAGAGTGTTTGTATAACCTGCATTTCCAATCTCACTTTAGAAACTACTTTTGCTTAATTGGAGACATGAAGTTTAGTCCCTTTTAATTACTTTTGTATAGTGTTTGATTCTAATTTCAAGTTGGAGTAAAAAATACTATCAGTGAAGCAATGCTTAATGACTGAATAATGCCATACATATGGCCCTTGTGATCCAAATAAAACGAAATTATAAAGTAGCACCTTGTCACTGTTCAGTCTGATTTTCCTGTGTTTCAAACAAAGTCTTTTGATCAACTTTAATTAGCATTAACATCTTGAGATCTATTGGAAATATCTTGATCTTTGAGATAATTGTGTTTAATACATAATGTTATTGAGTTGAACTAGAAGGAGAAAGCAGGAAGATGACAAACATAAAATTTCAGATGCACAGATTTCTGAAAATAAATTTAAAACTAAACTGCAGTGGGGTTTTGTTTGGTTTAGGTTTTTTTTTAATCTTGCTTTCTTTCAAGAAGTAGAAAACCAGCTGCTTCAGTCCACTTGCTAATGTGGCCAGAAAAAGCCTTGGGGGGAGAAATATGGATAGAAATATGTATAAAATAAATGGTATTCCTGCCTTTATTTCCTGGTCAGGTGTAAGGGTTAGATAAGGCTTGTGTTGGAGCATTGCTGTACATGCAGAGGTGAATGTACTCACATCTGTGTCTGGGAAGCCTTGAAAGCAGACCCAGCCCCTTTCTGGTCTCATTTTTGAGAGGTGAAGCTGGTACTGTTTCAGAAATTAACGTACAAGGAAAGCATCTGCCTTTGTTTTTTTTTAATTAGAACAAGCAACTTCATTGCATGGGCAATAGGCTTGGACCTATCTTGTTCAATTAGTGTCAAAAATGTTTGAGATCATCACTTGGGAAATGCTGCAAATCAAAGTGGCAATGAGATTTTTGTGTTAGTCTGACATTGACATTGTACCTGCTCCCTCAGGTGAATCCCCATGGGGGTTCACTGCAGCTTATTCATGAAGGCTTGTTGCCATCGGGGTGAAGGCAACGTTATCAGCTTTGTTGGTTTTTCCTCTTCGATACAAAATCAACCTTTGTTTCTGAAAAGATCTTAAAAAAATTCTGTAAAGACTCAGTAATATCCATCTCTTGTCACTAGGGTCTTATTTCTGAGATTCACAGTTGTATTTCTCAGGAAGCTGCTGAAGCACCATTTGAACAACAGCAGAAATATATTAATTCAATGTGTCAGTTTGCAACCAGGCCTGTTAAAAACGGAAGATCTGGTTATTGAAGTACTACTTAATAATTTTCAAAATGGCAAAATATTGTCCCTCCTTCAACACAGTTCACTGCTGAAAGCAACCTCAATCTTCTAAGCTTGTCAAAACATGTACTTGTGTTTTTCACTAAATTTCATGCGTTTAAGGGATCGGGTGGTCCACATGTGCTGTGCTACGTGCAGAGATGGGGACTGTTCCTTAGGCAGGACCAAGCAGCTCGGGGTTTCTGTAGGCTTTTGCTCCCTAATGAGAAGAGAAATGGCAGTTGTTGCCCTGAGCATTGCTCAGAAGAGCAGGGTCTGTAAGGCATCAGCTAATGTGCTCTTGGTGGGAGTGCCCAGCTCTGCCAGAGACATGGAGGCTCCTCTGAGCTCCTGAGATGTTTATTGATCAAATACAGCCTTAAAAATGCATTGCAAGCAGTTCTGTCCATGCTGCATTTAATTGATCTACATTTCTAGAACCCTCTGTACCAGGGAGACAGATCCTATTGATTGTGCTTTTTGAAGAGACAATAAATTCCCAAACAGGAAGTTATTAATTATTGTGTTATGTTTGCAGTGGCTCTTTGGGTGAGCTTCCTTCTGTTTGCCTGGCTATATTTTTCCTGAAGAGATTATTATTAAAGAATACCATCTTTTTGCAGGCAAAGCAACCTTCCAGTTGCAGTTCTCTGGTGTGGGTTGTATGAGCTCATAGCTCTTGAGTTTGCACGCAGTGTTTCTATTTGTGGCTGTAAAACTGTCAAGAGGAGAAATTGCAATGGCAATAAACTGGAAATGCATTTCACGTTCTCACCTTTGCCCCAGCACATCTACAGCGGCATATAGTCTGGGATTTAACTGCTAATGGCTGAAATGAGAAAATTTAATTGGGAGAGGCTCTTTTTACTGTAGGGATAAAATGGGAAATGTTTGCTTGCCTGTTGCCCGTCGCTTCCTTTCAAGGGAGCTGCAGGAATGAGTCCCTGGTGTTCCCCAGGCAAGCAGCCCCGTGTGCAGCTGCAGATCCCCTGGCTGTCATGAGTGCTTTACAGCTTTTATTGCCAGCCACAGCTGTGACTGTGTGTTCAGGGATTTGATGCTAAAGTTTACTTGGGACTTCATCTGCCTTCCTGTTAAAGACAGCACTGCTTGTGTTGATACACATCAGTTGAACACCTTATTCCCACGTCCTCGCTGACATGCTGGTGGAATTGCAGAGCTGCTTGGAAAGGCTGCTGTGGTGGCAGTGTGTCTGCACTGCCACAGCAGCAGTGGCCTCAGCTGTGCTGTGTTATAAGATGTGAAGGGCTACATCCCCATGATTTATGAGCTGCCCCTGAGGAGCTGCTCTCAGCCTGCAGGCTGTCCTGAGCTGTCACTTTGTCAGGGACACGTGATGGCTGTATCCTCAGCATCCTTTAGTGACAGCAG